GGAGAAAAAAGTAATTTCTTTAATAATTTACATTACATTGGCTATTTCCCCATCCCACTCCAGCAACTGGATCACTCTTTATTTACTAATATTGCTCATTTATAGCGGCCAATATTAGCGTAAGGACTGTCCAAGTTCCTGAGCTTGTAGATGTGGCAATATTTCATGCATCCAAACTACTAGCATCAAGTATATGTAAGAAATATGTTCATTCAAATACAAGTTGCTGTTTAGTTCATAATCATATTCTGTCAATGCACACCTTTTTATTTTATGAGTAAAACTGAATAAACCATGATTTCTCAGCTTGTACACAAGGAAAGCTAGGCTCTTATTTGAATGATCACTAATTTGAACCAGCAATAAAGTAGTAAATTCTTGCAAAAAACAAAATTGCAACAGAACAAAGCTGCATCAGTAAGAACTGTCTGGATTAATTAGATTCATGGTTGAACGGGCAATAACCACAATCTTTTTCAAATGGCAAAATTGGGGATAACTTTTTGATGGGAAGCATTTACTGCCTTTCAGAAAAATCCCAGGGGTGGAATCCCAATGACTTTGATATTATTGGCACATGATCATAAGATAGATCAGGAAAGAGATTGCTGTTCCTGTCAATGGAGATTTTCTGTCATCCTGCTTATGGTTGGTCCAAAGGTGCTTCCCCCCACCCCCCAAAAGGCAACTGGAGTGAGCTGAAGAAGCTTCTTGGATGAGAAGCAAAATGTCTTCAAAGAAAAAACAAAGTCCATTTGCCTTTTTGGGACAGATTGTTATACTGTAGAGGCAAATCTAGATGTGTGTCACTGACCTGAAGCAGAAGGCTAGTTTTCATAGGCTGAGAACCAAAATATTATTGCAGGGCAGCAAACTTTTATTCATGCTTTTGGCTAGCAATATTATGACTGAACTGACAAGAGTACTGAGCTATTGCTAACTATCTGACCAAGAATTCTGCAGATGTGAAACTCAACCTTCTCTTGAAACAATTATTCAAGTCAATTCTGGCCTTAACTTCAAAGTTCTGTCTCTAATTAAAGGCCACGACTGTCCTTTTCTTCCTGGTACTCTTTAATAATCTCTTATTCTTTCATTATCATCATCAATGCAACGATCACCACCATTATTATTTTCCTGTAAAAGCCCCTTTAGGAGTCGTTCTTTGCATGGAGTAGTGGTGAGGGTAACAAGTTAAACCAGTGGCTGCAACTGAGTTGTGGTGCTCAGAAAGCATGTCTGTAATTGAAATCCAAAATTCCTTTTGAAAGGAAACAAGATACCAATTAAACCTATTATCTTTGTTAAAGAGCAGAGAGAACACCCTTGATGCATTGCAAGTGGGCGAAATAATAGGCTGTTATTTCAGTATCAGAGTCACTGAAGGCAGCAGAAAAAGTTGCCTTCTTACAGGAATGGCTCAAGAGACAAATAGGACTGGACACTTTTTATTCTTAACTCAATGGCAGATCGCTCCACTATCCTGAAACAATGACAGTTTACTTAATGACAGCTTGTAAACAGGCCTGTCAAACTATTCCAGGGATAGCTTACATTTTCAATATCTCTCTGGACTTGATCATGCTGTTACTCAGGCCAGCTCTAGCAAAGTCATTAGATAGAAATAAGTGGAAAATTGGTCGAAAATAATGGCCCCTTTAATCAAAGTGACAGCACTGGGCACTTGGCCTCTCCCTACAACAGTGTTGATACCAGGGTGGATCCAGTAAGCTGTCACTCATTGTAATCCTTGGGTGGCTCCACTGATTTCAAAGCCATCTGCGCTGATAAAAGCTTGAAATACAACTTTAGGGTTTCTATGACTCGCCAGTATCCTGATGCCATATTTTATACCAAACTTACATCCAGTGTCTCAGGTATAAGACATGATTACATGTAAGAACTAGGATTGGTGCAGAAGAACCCCTTTGCATTTTGTCTACTGCTTATTTCAGTTGTCTTGGGAATATGTATGTAATTTCCATGTATGGTTTGTACCTTTTATTAAGACAGTTAGTACTCAATCATTGAGCTATGTACCTTAGTTCTTACCAATTGTACCATATTTTTTTTAAAAAAACAACAGCATTCTCCAAAGATGCTTTTTCTATCTGATTTTAGGTTAAAAAAAGCAGATATATTTGGCACCAATTTGGGGTTTCTCCAATAGTTTGTGTTCCATGGAGAATTGTATAAAGTAAGATGAAGGGAGATGCTTGTTAGTTGAGATTGATAGAAACATGGTTAGGGAATCCCTGTTTATGTTGAATGTCAGATGTAAATGCCTTATTCTCTAATGTGTAAATAATATATGAACGGGGTATCAGGGGTTAACTTATTCTTCACTTCTTAATGTATTCATAATTCACCACTCCTACTTATAGCTCCACCCATTGTATATATAAGGAGCCACCTACACCCTTTTCTTTGCTTCTATCTGTGAATATTCAGTGAATATAGAATGCCTATTGTAAATAAAAGGAAATATATTTAAACCTTTAACTCTTACTAATATTATTGAGTCTGATCCTGAAAATATTGCAACATTGAATAAGTTTAATTTGTGTAATTGTATGTGGGAATAACCAAGAGGGACTAGGAGAAGCAGTGCTGCCTAAGGAATGATCCAGACAAACTGGGTGGAGAGAAAAACTCTGCAGTTGCTTAGAGAGCTGCAGTAAGAACTTTAGGATTCTGTTAATATTGCTTTTCAATAAAATAAAATTAGCTCATCTGGTCGTGTTCCCTGTTGGATTTATCTGAGAGTGCTGACTTCAATATTGCTAGTCTGAAAGTACAACTCTTCCACCATCTTTTTTTTTTTTTTTTTTACAGACTGACCAATTCGGGCAGGTTTTTACTAAATTTCTTTCTCTACCCCGTTTTTTAAACTAGATAAACTCCTTCATATATTGTCGGACTATATCTTTATATCCGTAAAACATTTTAAAAAGTATCCATGACATACAGATTAACAAGCTATTTAAGTGAGGACTTGATAACATAGCAGTTAAAGCAATATGTAGTTGGATCAGAAATCAGACTCAAAAGGTTCTCATCAACAACTCCTCTTCAAATATAGAGGTGTATGTGGAGAAGTTCAGTCTTAAGTCCTCTACTCATCAATATTTTCATCACTGATTTAAATGAAGGAGTGGGTGGAATATTATCAGATTTGCTGATAACAGACATTTGGATTGGAAGGCAGAAATATAACAAAATGATCTTAATAGGTTAGAAAAATAGGCTGAAAATAACACAATAACATATAACAGAGACAATGGAAAGTTCTGTACTAATGAAGCAAGACTAAAATGAGTAAGTATATGATGGACACTTAGCTTACTAGCACTGAAAAAAGATTTTGTACTAGTACTCAAATCAAACTGGATATGAATCAGCAGTGTGACATGGCTGTAAAATAAAAAGAAAATAAACAAAATACAATATACTGGAGTATACTTTCCAAATGATGGGAAGTAATAGTTCCACCTAATTCTGCTTCAGATAGACCCATCTTGAATACTGTGTCTAGTTCTGACCACTATGCTTTAATAAATTATAAAATTTTCTGAAAAGAGCACAAAGAGGACTAGAAGCTAAATCCCATGAAAGGAAGTTGTAAAAACTGGTTGTCTTAAGCACTGAGAAAAAACTATCGAAGAGGAATGAAGTAGGTCTCTTGAAAGGATAATACATAGAAGAAAGTCAGGACCTATTCTTCCTTATTCCAGAGTGAAGGACACAGAATTATGGATTTAATTTACAGCAAATTCCAATTGAATGTTAGAAAATATTTCCAGCAACAACAGGAGTTTCACAGTGGATCTGTCCCAAATTTAAATGGCTCTTTAAAATGTTATGATTTTCAGCAATATTTGATAATAGCCAAGATATTTTTTTTACTGATTAAAATATTCTTTCAAACAACACAAAATATAATGATAAAAATAATATTGTTAGGAATAGAATTATGCAGATAAGGGAATATCAAAATAATATAACTCAAAACCCCTCTATTTTCCAATGTTACAATTCCAATGCTATGGCAATGTTTTCTGTTGCAGAAAATGTTCTGTTGTGTTCTGTTATGATGATTGCAGGCTTCAGATAATCTTTAAAAATCATATGAGTACAAAATGAAACAGGCAACAAATCTATTGAAAAGGAATCGGGGGAAAATAAGAAAGTGAAAAATTTATGAATGCATATAGCTCATGTTGTTCCAGAAGCATAATAAAATGTAACATTAAGTCTTGCACAGAACAATCCACTTAGATTGGTACAGGATTCTAGTCTCAAAATGCTTTGATATCTCTGAATTTTCCTGCAACAAACCACATGGTGGGAATTTGGATGAAATTATAAGAGAAGATGGTAAAAAATTGGAAGCCTTAAAACTGAAAGCAAATTTCAGGGGAATCAGGTTATTTAGTTACTTCAGTGTTTATACTTTAGAACAAATCAAGCCAATAGATCCATTAAAATATTTTAAAAACTTAAACTGAGAGATATAGAAAATGTAAAATATTAGTATTATAAATTACAGGGAATTCAAAGCCGTATGGCAGAGTCTATTGTGGAGAAGACAAATTTAGCACAATAATGGAACCGCTGAAACCATTTAAATTTTCTTAAAAATAAGAGGAGGCATGTTAATAATTAGGTAGTATCATATAATTATAAGTGGTACATCTCCTTGATTTGAAACAGTATTTATAGCAAGATTATCCTGATGTTTTATGAAAATCTAGCAACAAACTTTAATGTGTGGTTGGAATATAAAGTCATAAAAGGTTTTTGGGCAAAAATCTATAATAAATACAGCCAATCAATCATGTGAGATGGGAAAAAATGACATAAATTACAGAATTACTGCCAAATTTCGATTCCTCTAAATCAAAGAAACATCACTTTTCCTAGACAGTCATGTGTTTGGCTAGAACATTGGCATGTGGATATTTTGTTCAACAACTCTTTGTTCTCACTGATTTCTGTAGGCAGGAGGAAAGCACTATCATCCCACTTGTGCCAGATGTGTACGATGTCACCAGATGTTCACAGAAGGGGAAGAAATGTACCTCACAGGTAGGAACACCTATTGGAGGCAAAAGATCTCATCAAGAATTAAAAAGTCTGCCTCTAATCCATAGGAGGCAAATTTAATGCTTGTCCTTGCAACTTAATCATGATAGAAACATATTTTAAGAGCCATGCTGGGCCTCTCTGAAGAACATTCAGTTTTTCATTGTGATAGACTCAGGTTTTATTAGCGAGAAATGGATTAATCTTCTCTAAACATTACATGTGACTGGAATTCGTATTATCAATCCCACTTCAAGGAGAATGTGTTGAAATTTTCAAACAGAAGGCATTTGACTGAACTTAAAACAATATTTTAATTTTCTGATTGCAACAAGCTTAGTGTATTCACATGTTCATGGAATATCTAGTTGCAATAAGAAACGAGATGACTAGATCTTAATATAAGGTTAGGATGTTCTCCTCCCTGTTCATCTATTTTCAGCTTAGAGAGGGAGTCTCATAGATAGTTGTTTGGTGTTTGACATTGTGAGTCACTAATTACCCTTTGTATATCAACATTAATTGCTGGGCTGGGTTTTTTCCCCCCACCCTCACACTCCAGGAACTGTTGGCTTAGTTGCTGGCAGCTTTCTGCGTGGGATGGCAATTAACAATTTGTTTGTTTTAGAGGAGTGGAGGCATCATTAATGGCTCCTTGGCTGATCAACTAGTAGGAAGCCTACCACAGTGATGGGCATGAATTCTCCAAACTGTTGCACCTGTCCCATGACTGCATGGCCTTAAAGGGCATCTAAAATTGATCCTGTGAGAAGATGGAAAATGGTGGGGATGATAATTGTTGGAGAAGGTAGAGGTTTATTCTTCTCCTTATGATACTGGGGTGATTCCAAGGATAATAAATAAACAAATTGCTTTCAAAAATAGCTCCCCGTTTTGCTCGTCAGCCATCTAAGTGGAACTTGACAGCAAATGTCAGGTATGTTAATGTTATATTGGTGTAATTTGACTCAATTAAATTTAGAAACCTCCATGTTCAAAGAAGCCATATTCATTCCCTCCTCTATCCTAGAACAAACAAGAAGAACAAGGGTAGCCAGAGCAAACTTGGAACACATGTATGCATTTCTGTCTAAAAGGAATAAAGTCATAGCAACAGAAGCAACAGGAAGGGACCAAGATGGAGGATTTCTAATAGAGAATAATTAGGACTATTTGAGAATTGTTCTAATGTTGGATTAATATCATATCTGGGCTCTTCTACATAGTCACTGATGTTACTTCCCAAGCCAGTATTTGCCATCCTCAAAATGCTCATTACTTCCCATGAGCTGATCATTGGCCGGTGAGAGAGAAATAAGTTCTTGTAGAATTCTCTCCATCTTCCTCTAATGTTCCTTGTTGCCTCCTTGTGTTTGCCTTCCCAAACAACAATCTGGTCTTTAAGAAACACAGTGAATGGGTGCCAAGGTGGCTTGATCTTAGCAGGGAAAAAGAGAACTCAGGAACAGGATGAGGTAAAAGTTGCTCCCTTTGGAAAACCACCTGCTGGACAGCTTCAGGGTTAACACTTTTCTCCCAATGGAGTTTCCTACATTGCCACTGAATCAGATGTTACTCACCTCCTCAACAGAAGGTCGATGGGAACACAACATATGTGATCCTGGGTGGGACACAAGCCATAGGTGGAGGAGCCTTCTGTTACATTCAGAGAGAATTGGCAGACTGTCCAGAAAAATTATTTTCATCTCTTGCAATCCAAAACAAACTTTTCAGGCTGTAAAAATGGGAGCTGGCTTTTCCCTTCTCTTCTTTTTTCTTTTCTTCTCTCTTTTTTTTTTTTTTGTTCTGTCTCAAGCAATTCATTCAACTTAAGAGTCTCTGAAAAATTATCCAGGAGGACGAAAAAGTTCTCTGGGTGAACACAGAGAAGCCTATCTAATTCAAACTGTATAGAGATCTTTGTTCCCATAAGACAAGGAAAAAAAAAAGGAGAATGTTTGTGATGCTACAATGACCTCTATTATCACACAACTAATTTTGAAATTTAATACACTGAAAATATTCCAAAGAAGATGATCTGGCCACAATCTTGAAATATGTGATGTGATAATATTGTATCCTCATTATATTTCTTTCTAGAATCCTTCAAGTGCAGATGATAATACAAATCAATAAAGCCCATAAATTAAAATCAGGGAACACCATCCCTAAATCTGAAAGCATTCTCTCTCTTATGGAGTTCAGAAACACGAGGAGAGGCTAGAAAATGGGCATCATTAGATTGACTATTATTCATTAGATACATACATCAAAGACACGACATGAATAAACAAAAGAAAAATATATGGATGTGAAATGTATGTAAATAAATATTCTGCCAACAAGGTTTATCACACTGGTTTTTTTTTACACATGATATTGTCTATTCTTCTCAAAGCTAGCTTTTACATAAATCATTATTACTAGACCACCCTAAGGGCATTTTTATTTATGTATTTATTTTGCTTATTCATATTAGGTCTTTGATTCATTTTTCTATCTCTCAACACACCTGATTCTTCTCTATTGTTCAGCTTTTTGTTCCCATTTCCAACAGGCAATATGGCCAATTTGGAAAATATCCAGGAGTAAAGACTGATTCAAAGTTGATCTAAACAATTAGTACTCAGATGTATTTATATTACAGCCTTCCATCAACTTTTCTCAGTCAGTCAGACCTAGAAAAATGTGATAAGCCCAGAGCTGTGAGGGAGAGACAAACAACAAAATTAAATTCCAGTGGAAGAGAATATATCTTGTCTGGCTACTGTGGTTGGGTAAGAAAGCATCTATAAGCAAACAACCAAGCTCAGAGACCACCAAGAACTCCACAATCAAATTAAGCTGCACACCTCCAACAAAGATGGCATTTTGTATGAGGTCATTAATTCATATTCTCCTCTAAATGGCCATCCTTGATTATTTTATACACCAATAAGGGAACAGTAGCTGTGAACAGTATCAAAAATTCAGTATTTTGTTCATTTCTTCCAATTACTGAGACCTAAAACTCTCGAACCATTTGACAGCATTTATTTGTTTGCTTAATGCTACATTGGCAATGAACGCTCCTAGTTTCTCCACATTCCCCATATAATGTCAACTAGCAAAAAGGTGAATGATCAGCCTTCATTCTTCTTTGCATTATAAACAGAGAGATTGTGCCTTAATAGCGTTTCCATTTTACCAATAATACTGATTTTTACAGCTTAGCAGTGTCAAAAACCATGTTATGCTCCAACATTGATCAACTGGAAGGGGTTATTTTCATTCTGAACTGGGCTATGTTGAGGACAACTCTGGGTTACCTTGAAAATGCTTTTAAGGGTCTGAGGAATTAAAATGATGACAGTGGGCAAAGGACCAAGTTTTCCTAGTGCCTGTTTGCAATTCAAAACCAAAATTCAAACCAAATGAATCTTTGGAACAAAAATACCCATGGCATTATCAGCAGACAAAAGTGAATGGATCTTCTTGAAAAAAAGGAGAACTGCTTATAAAAGAAATATTTCTAAATAAACATTTTGATGGTATTGTTTCTTTACAATCTTAGGTAATGTTGGGTAGGGTAGACATGCAGATGGGCAGCTTGTAGTTCTGATGCATGTTCTCCTTTGCAGGTTCAGAAGTATGGCATCCTATCTGCAAACAAGCAGCAAGAGCAGAAAAAAAGCTAAAGGTAAACTAGGGGAAGAGTAATTAGCCAAATTTTACTCATGGATGCTGGTATTAGCTAAATAATGATACTGCAAGGGGGAAGCCAGATTCACTTAACAACTGTGGCCAGAAAAGTTGTAAAATGGGGCAAAACTCACTTAACAAATGTCTCATTACAACAGAAATTTTGGGCTCTACTATGGTCATAAGTCAAGGACTACCAGAACTGTGTCTCCTCAATAGTATCCAAGAAAGAAAACAAGTGACATTTCAGCGTTATACTCAATGATTGCCAGTGGCATGCAATGAACTGGAGAGCACAGGTGCCAATTGGTTGGTTTTTACCAAATGTTACTGGAAAGTAACATACTGCAAAAGGAAAGTTGATGACAGGCTCATCTACACTACAATATCTTGTTAGGCCCTCCAGCATACTAGCTTTAATTGAAAGTAATTGAGGGAGATGTAAGGTGTAGTAACTGATAGCATTGGTTGGAACATTTAATTTTGAAATTGAGTGTTCACGATATGCATGGAATGAGGAAGTGAGCTAGCAGCTTAGAATGGCAAGTAGCAAAATGCAGCCAAATATATACGATAGGGATTAAGGCTTTTTGAGCAGAAGGAAAAGTACAGTATGTGACTTTTTTGCCATTACTATATTGGCAACTCTGGTCAGCATGAGTTGAAGTCTTTCTTCAATACTATGTGTAAGCAAAGTCTTGGAAACTTTAACAGTATCTTGTCGGTTTCTGTGTACACAGCACAGAAGAACGTCAGAGACATCCATATCCCCTCCTGGCTCCAGCATTGGTTCCCCCAACCGAGTCATTTGTGTAAGTATACACAACATGGGGCAGAAGCAACATGGAAAACTGAAAATTGAGGTTGGCAGCCCCCCATAAGATTAATTTGGAAATGCATGCCCTGTGAACCCCAGAGGAGATGAAAAGAAGAGATCAACCAATAAAATAAAATATCTATTGAGGATTGTTCCCTTTAGACTTGGAACAGATTTCCAAGCCAGATATGTGCCAAGGAAAGCATTTGGCAAATTCAGCCTGAGTTGTCTGTTCCCATCCCTGAATACCTGTCTGCTTAATGCCACTATGCCTTTGAGCATCCTCTGCCTTACAGAAGAACTCAGATGCATGTAGTCAAAGCAAAGCCTGACACCACTTTCAATCCTGAGCCAACTGCTCCTTCCCACTTCTTCTGCTTCTGGCATTCCCTTCAAAATGCCTTCCTTTCTTCTTTTCGCCTTCCATCACAAATATCTGTCCCTGTTTTGTTCAGAAGTTTCCTTCAACCTTGCATTCTGATGTAATCTTTCTCTTTGCATTTCAAGTGCCTGTTCCTTTTCTTTCTGTGGTTGTCTATTGTATCTTTCCCTTTCCATAGGCTAAAGTGGATAATGAAATCCTTAATTACAAAGATTTGGCTGCTCTTCCCAAGATTAAAGCCATCTACGAGGTGCAACGCCCTGACCTCATTTCTTATGAGCCCTATCACAGATATACTTCGGATGAAACACTGGAGAGATATAGCTATGGGGAGGTACAGTTTCTAAGGCATTTCACCTGGATTGTACACAATGAATGACGTCTCTGTTGGAAGCAGAGACTTGTCTCTATCCTCTGGCTGTAAAAACCCATTAATTTCAATGAGAATGCTTGAGATTCAGAATAACTATCTCTTACTCCAAAAAAAGAAACATCTAAAATAGTATCCAGGTGAGACTGGTCTGATAGATAGAGTAGAGCATAGGTTCTACTATTTGCATGGAAAACACAAAAGCCCTTTCCAAATATAAGTAGATTGGAAAGTGGACTGAAGACAAACATTAGACCATTGTTTATTTAATCATAGTTGGTTACTAAATCTTAAATATATATATATATACAATGCCTGGATAGACAGAACATACGAAAGCAAACCAAAAAAGCCACCTGGGGAATTTGCATATTACTCATTTAGAGTAACATCTGGCTAAGGATGAATTAAATAAGAATTCGCTTCTGGTTAATAGAACAAGCACAAAACATTATCCCTCAGTTTCAAATGCACCTGGACAACTCTTATGTCCAACACGTCAATGCCTCCTTGAACTGAGAAGGATGGACGTCTCAGTGGGTGCAATGGGAAACGAGGCAGATATGCTAGTGTGAATCTGTACTTTATGGGGCTAGAGATCAGATTCTGACCTACCTGGAAATGTTACTGTTATCTGCAGTCTGTCTGTAAAAGCTTTTGCGTTTGCTTTAGGTTACTGATGGGGTATATGTCTAGGCTGAGCCAGTCCAGTGTCAGCCTTCTGGCTTCTGCTGAGAAAAAAAGGAATGGATAATTAAACGGAGGGGTTTCTGACAGAAGCATACCGGACCTTTGGCAGAAGACAGCACTTTTGGTCTGCTACAAAGCAGCGGGATTTTTAGTATAATTGGCAACCACCCTTTATCAGAAATATTTCATAGCAATAAATGACTGAAGCAACAAAATAATACAGCTCCTCCTTTGGAAAGGCAGTGAAAAACTCAGGCCAGAGACCCCATGTTAACTGACTCCTTATTAATCATCAAATCACAAATTTGTTAAGCTCCTTATCTCAGTTTCTCACAGAAGATATCCATTGATCCAGCTGCACTCCTATATCTCATTGGGGACTGGAAGCATGATAGAAAGAATCAATGAGTCCTATGTTCCATCTTTCCCTGGCAAATGAAGGCATGACCTTCACTCCTGGACAATTTTTGGAATTACAAAGAAGTGCTATTAGTAAGGCACGAGGCTTTTGTTTTAACATCTCCAAGGAAGCCAGGATATTTTTAAATCAAGCACAATGGAACATTTGGAGAAACTTAAAGCAGAGCTTGGCAACAACAGTATTCTTGTTTAAAATATTGTGCAGAATGGGAGATATAGCTTTGTTTTTATATCTATAAACACTTACATAGTTACGTTTTAACCTATTGTATTGAGGGTTACCCCCTGAAGATTATACAGAAGCTACAGATGGTACAGAATGCAGCCATCCATTCAGTTCTAGGGGTCCCTAAGTGACTCATGTAATACCACTGTTGCACAAGCTGCACTGGTTGCTGGCCAATTCAAGGTATTGGTTAGGACCTTTAAAGCCCTTTATGGCATGGGTCCAAACTACCGAGGAATTGTCTCACTTCAATGGTATTGGTCTGCCCCACTCCTTCTGGAAAAAGGGACATGCTTTGGACCCCATTGGAGAAGGAATTCTGCCTGACAAGGGTCTGGGAGAAGGGCCTTTTCTGCTGTGGCTCCATCCCTTTGGAACACCATGCCGCTTGAGATGAGATCCACCCTCACCCACTTGGCCTTCTGAAAGAGTCTCAATTCCTAGCTCTGTGGATCAGCCCCAATGAGGGCATTCTGTGTTGGAGGAATGTTGGTTAGCAGACTAAAGAGAAGATCCCACCTCCACCCCATAGTATTTTCTTTCTTTGACTTATTTAATCTCTGTTTATTTTAATATTTAATCTTTTGTACTTTTGTTTCATAATGCTTGTAAGCCACCCAGCATCGCTTGACAGTGAGATGGGCGGCATATAAATTAAATAAATAAATGAACAAACAAATAAAATATTTCATTATATTTCTCCATACAAAGTTTACATTTTATGCAATATGCTTATACGTAACAAGTGTAATCAAATTTTCAATCCATTGAATAAACGGAGCCATACCTTTATCTTTCCAATGTTGCAATATGAGTCTTTTAGCCACAGTAAGGGCACAGAGAATGCATTACGTTGTCCAGTTGTCCAATTCAATGGACAGGGAATAGATCAAACTTGATAGGTATTGCAACAATGCTAACCCAAACACACCCCGATGCTACTTTTTCAGTAGTTATTCAAGTATCTAGTTTCCCCAAAAACTCTTTAGAAGACATAGGCTGGCCTTGTCTCTAGGAGTTGGCTCTTCCAGAGAAGATGGGTTGACACATTGAAGATTCATTCTCAGAGTCCCCAATGTCAGTGGGATGAGAGCAAGCTTTTTCTACCTTATTAGGTGGATGCATTCCACCAGAAAAGGCAATTCCACACACATCCATGTCCTGAACCATAAAGGACCCATATGTCTAACAACTTCAATTCCATCCAGAAACCTGCCAGGAACTAATGTAGCTTCCAAAGTAATGGTGTAACATGGGTGAACCACAGCACACACCTTGATACTCAATCCACTGCATTCTGAACCAACTGTAGCTTCTTAAGAACAGTCTGATGTTCGGCAAATTGCAGTTATCCAAACATGAAAAAAGCATAGGTAATTATCGTCAAAGCCTCCCAAGCTAGGAATGACAGTAAGTGATGCACAAGATAGTGCTGTACAACAGTCTCCTAGTCATGGCCTCTATTTGCTCTTCATACAGAATTGTATGTCCTAAAGAACCCAGATTATAGATGACCTCTGCATAGGGGAACACAAAGTTGTCCAATGCCAAGGATGGAATTCTATTTAAATCCCTCAATTTCTAAACCTATAGTCATGGTCTCTTGCTGGGATTGAGACTAAATCCATTTTTCTCCATTCAGTCCCCAATAGCCTCCAGGAACTGGGAAGAATCTTAACATCTCCTGTTCAGCCCAAGGTAGCAATGTAAAACTAAGTATCATCCATATAGTGGCCCAATCCTAGTGGCATAATAAGAGGATCAAATTATAAGACACCTCATAAAGCAGGGATCAACTTCATCAAGGGCTGCCTCAATCACTAAGTTACTGTCAGCCATTCTCCACTCTCCTGTTCCCACCCTCCAGCTCTTGGATAAAGAACAGGGGGATTGGGATGGTGGATAGTTACATACTCAAGTGCTGACTTCTTGAGTAGGGGTTGCATCAGAATCTGTTTCGTACCTATCTAGACATTTAACTACTTAGTCTATTTTTCTGCCTTCCTCTCTGGAGGTTTTCGGCCACCTGGAGCAGCAGGGATCTAATCCACAAGCGGCAGAGTTGATGTCACAGAAGACTCTGTTTCCTTCATTAGGATCTATGGGAAACGTTGCTCTTTTGCCACTCATCCAATCATGGTGTAGGCTTGATGGTGTAGGCTTGAACCTGAACACTTAATCTGTATGCAGTTGTAGTGACTTCTTTGCCAGCACTACTTCAGCTGCCTCTTCTGCCACTTCAGAATGCTTCTTATTTGCACAGCAATGCAGATAGGCCTCACTTACTGATTGCCTCATTTAGCAATCTTTTGAAATTATGATAGCCCTGAAAAGGCAATGACTTTTTCAGGCATTTATGACTGTCACAAGATGTTGTGGTCAGACAACTGCCATTTGTGTGCTTTGCATCTGGTTTCCAATAAATAATAGACAATGGGGAAGCCAGCAGTAAAATCACAAGTTGCAGTCATGCGATTTCTCACTTAACAAGCTGTGGTAACTCATTTAATGACTCAAGTGGAAATGAAGTCATAAGTCTGCCACAATTACATGATATCTTGCTTAATGACCATATCACTTAGTGACAAAATTGTAGTCATTAAGCAAGGACTACCTGTGCTCTGGACTATGCCTGTAATTTAAATGAACCAGTTTGGTGCAATCAGACCTTCAGAAATGGTCTAAGGATTATCTTTAAAAAAAAGTGATGCCACCTAATATTTCGCCTTTTGCTGTCTATTTCTGTATTTGAGCTAGTCCTACTTTTCCAAAGTAAATTTATACTAAAGACATATTTTAATATTTTAAGGAGGAGCATCTTAAATGAACTTGTAGGCAAGTTTCTGCGCTAGTTTCAAAAATATGATTAAGAGGGAACCATGCAAATATTTAATTTCTACATGTTTGTCATACACTGCTAGGAAGGTGTGAGTCTGATACAAAAAAGTTGTGGCCCTCCATTGTTCTCTTACATTCACAGATCAGCCCTTGTCATATTTTTCCACATATAATTGCTCTAAGAGAATCCCTCTAAGCTTCATTTCTTACCTTATGAACTGAGTATAATATCTTAAGTCCTCTTGCATTACTTTTAAAACTAGGTTTGTTAAAAGGCAAAAGATTTGGTTTTCAGTGACTTAAACCATTGTAAAATGGAGAATCCAGGAGAAGAGGGCTCGATAGCACCTGATTAATCTAGATTAATCCAGGCAGGCACACACATCCCTTTGAGGTGACAAGAATATAATCGAAGGGAAGTGAAACCCTGAGCTGCCTTTTCTCACAACAATGGGAAAAGTTATGGGATTGATCTTCTCTTTCTTTGGCGTTTTGGAATCTCTTTCTCCCAGATTTCTCAATGCCTTGGCAAATTCTGAGAAGGTTGTAGTTTGGGGGAAGATGAAATGACTTGTGGTACAGAAACATTAGATCAATTCTCTAATAACCAATTCTCTCTTTCTTTTCCTGCTCTTTATTCCCTGGCGGCTTGTCTCTGACCTTCTGTCACTTGTAGTCTCTTGGAACCTTGTCTCCATATTCTCAGGTAATCACACAACGCTTAAGACTAATTGGGGGTTTACATAGCTAGGGTTTGTATTGCTGAAAGAGAACTTGAGGAGAGCTGGGTTTGGAAAAACCTGTGGAAGGCCAAGGAAGCTGATTTAGCTTTACTGCTAAGCCTTGAGGATATAAAAGAAGTCTCCTCTCCCCCACTCTCTATGAAATGAAAAATGTTCTCAGCCAGGGGTAGGTTCTACTTACCTTTACTACCAGTTCGCAACAGGGCCGCTCACGCTTGCGCTTCTGCGCATGTGCAGATCGCAATTTATGACGTCGAGGCGGGTGGGTGGAGCCTTGTGCCGATTTTACTACCAGTTCTATAGAACCGGACAGAACTGGGAGCAACCCACCACTGCTCTCAGAGGGCCAGGATGCATGCTAATGTACATACACCTTGACCCTCCTGGGACTGGATCTTTTATGAACAAAGTTTTGCATTTTTTGCAGGATATTTATGAGAGCATGGACATCAGGCAGAGGCGAGCATCCAGCCCAGGCTACATAGATTCACCCACCTACAGTCGCCAAGGCATATCTCCCACCATCCCACGCTCTCCACATCATTATTACCGCTCAGGTAGGGCATGGCTGTCTCCATCAGGATTCAAATAAAGACATTTGTCCAACGGAACTCGGCTTTAGCACATTCAAGGGACACACACATGCTGCCAAAACATTTTCTATATCCAGAACAGGCTGAACATGAAATCAGAGAGACAAGGAGGGTCCCACACAGGTACAGTGTCGTCCATTGCATAGGATCCATCTTTAACAGAATGGTAGGCAAGTGCCTAGCTCTGGTTTTTTTTACTTTCTTTGGGATACGAATGAGTTGTGATGAACTTCACTCCGTTGTCATGCTCCGTTTTCTTTTTTCCTAAGCAAATTCAGAGTGGCAATTCTGTGGCAGAGTGGAAATAGAAAGAAGCAGATGACATGGGAAGCAGCAACTATAGATGTGCAAAATACTTGTCCTGAATTCAGGATGGGTTCTTCCAACCGATCCAATAGTGTTCTGAGCTAGGAACAGCCCTTTTGCCAGCTGAGAAATTTGTTTCAAATTCAAAACCCGTGTTATTTTGAGTTTAAAACACTTTAGGAATGATTGGAACAACCCAGGCTTCTTGTTATGTGTACAAATCTTCACCATTATGATCATCACCTCCCTCCACCTATGTATTCCCACCATAAATTCACAGATGGCTTACTAATTTTCTAAAATACTGTTTTTAACACCAATTTTCCTCTGCCTCTCTTTTCTTCTCTGCTGCTCCCTCCAATCTGCTCTTTCAAGGGACAGAGAGTGGGCGCAGCTCCCCCTACTATAGCCAATTAGATGTGAGGTCTTCTACACCAACCTCATACCAAGCTCCTAAGCATTTCCACATTCCAGGTAGGCTCTGGAGGCCTCTGGGCAGCCAGTGAAGGAGTGCTATATGGGATCTTTTTTGGTTTTTTTAGTCTGCATGCTTGTGCCAAGGATGTTATTTGCATGAGTAGTGCTGTTGCCAGCCTAAGGTAAGCTGGCCGCAGCAAGCTACAACTGCATGGTAGAGGCCATCCATAAACAAGACCTGCAGCCTTCTCTCCTTCTCCTCTAAAATCTCCTTCTCCTCTGCCCTGCAGCTTCTTTCCCTGCACAAAGGAAAGACTGTCTTCTTCCTTGCCTTGCCTTCTCCTACCTCAAGGACCAGAGAGCAAAGCTTGTCTGTCAGCTAAGAGCTTTTCTACACCCCACAACTTTGACACATAATTTATCTTATACTCCTCCTGCTCCCCTCAGGGCCCGCTGCACCCTTCCCCCAGATCTCTCTGGACTTGCCAGGTGACTGCTCCCCTCCAGCAGAGACCCAGGTAAGGGCCACTGCCCACCCCTCCTGCAGAGGGGGAGGGAAGGAAGTCAACCTCTGTCTCTTATCAGTGTGGAGGTAGAGACCTGAATGCCCTCCCCACTTGCCTGCCTGCACAATCTGCAACCAGCTTTGCTCACAAGATAAATTGAGCCTCATTTGTTTGGTCAAAACAAATAAAGACCATTCCTGTACCAAAGCTGGCAGCTGTGGGAGCCCTCCTTCATTCACTCTAGAACAGGAGTCCTTGGACTCTTCAGTTCAATCAATCCCTTCATGAAGTTATAGATTGTTCATCAACCCTCAAACATTTATTATATTAATATAATAATTAATTTATTAATTTAATAAATACTAATTTAACTAATAGTACTATGAATAATAACAATAAAAGTAAAATAATAGTAATGGTTAGACCCACATTAACTACTTTGGAGAACCCTGATCTAGAATTAATGCAAGTTAGGATTGAGATCTATTCCTTTGATACACATCTTCCTACCAGAATGAAACCTCAGTCCACTTTCTAGGTTTCGCTCTTTGTCTGTACTGATAACTTTGGGCCAATGACAAAACCAAGAAGGTGGCTCCATTCTGGCAGTTTAAAGTTTGATCTAGACACGGAAGAAGAAGAAGCTCTTTGTTTTCCATGGATTCCATTAGCATCCATTAAGGTCACATATGAAGAGTCAGTCAGCTGATAAAGTTCCTCTTTGGGATTTGATTATTTTTCATTCACTTCCTAATCAAACTCCAGATGGATGTTGGTCCTTGTAGAAATACTTGAAATTTATAGTTTGGGATTAAGTATTTCCACATGTTTGTTGCAATTTCTTGACCTTAATGTATTCTGCAGGGAATCTCCAGAGATACATGGAGCAGGAAGGTGAAACTGACCTGAATTAGGCAAGATCAGCAGATGTAATTGGCCTGAGTTGCCTTAATTGGCCTCCTAGAATTTTCCTTGCCCTAGTATTTCCCTACTGAAACAGGCATTGTGATGGCTACTGCTCCTGTAGCTTTTGCTTGTGTCTTTTATGGATGGTCCTTTTGCCTATACATTGGATCAGCCCATCAGTAAGCTTCTGTGCTAGTAGCTCCTATTCCCAGCTTGCTTTGCTTCTCTCTTATTTGAAGAGAATATGGCTGACTCCTGGATGAGGATGGGTTTTTGTCCCTGAATCTCTAGGTAACCAACTCATAAATCATCCTGTGCCATTGCCAGACAAGGAGACAATGGCCATTAGTACTCACCAAAGGAGGCCTTCCTATCTCTCGAGCTGAGGCCAGCTACCAACTGTGCTAGAAGGAAAGCTGTCTGCCTGACCCTGCATGCTGTCATTAGTGAGCATGCTCACCGCATGACCTCTTGTGCACGCACATTCACTGTCTTAAAGCTGTTGAAATAGCACACAAAGAGGATTAATTCCTTCTCCCCCCCCCAAACCATCTCCCAACCTAAGTTCACTCGGCAGGTATTTAAGATAGGCTGTTTTATCTTAAGATGGGAAAGTACTGAGTAGTAAAGTAAGCAGGCAATGTAATCTTGGACAGGCAATTTTATTTGCAAATCTGATGGTTCCTGTGCTTAGTATAGGGATCATGCTAACCTTTTCTATATCATATATGTTTTTTACTTGTGCTGCCAAAATGATACGGAGAAGATTCCCACCACCCCTCTTCAAGAATGACAGGCAGGTTCCTGTATCTCTAAGCTACACACTCTGGCTCCTCCCTTTTGCTATCTCCTTCTTTCCTTCATTATTTTTCTTTCTTTACCTCCAGCTGCTGCAGAGAGTAACATCTATCGGAAACCACCCATCTATAAAAGACACGGTACAGTTTGGGCATGGCTTTAACATATATTTGGGCATGCAACTTAGAATAAACCAAAGTTCTGCTCAGGTCTGGTGGTGTGCATTGGAAGTGGCTCGATAAACTATACAAAAGTTGATGGCACTGCCAGACCATCGACATAATAGACTTTGAAAAGAAGGAAAGTATAATGGCCTTTCAGAAACCTGAGATGAAGATTGAGCAGAAAAGTTTGGCTTGCGTAATCTCTTATCTTATCTTAGGGTGCCTCCATGCGTTCAGAAAAAGTAAACCCTCAATAATGTAACTCATGCAGGCAAATAGCACGTTGCTTTTAAAGTGTATAATTCTCATTTTCAATTAACTTTTAAAACATAAGGATATCAGCTGGAGCAGGTCCATATACTTACTGAGATCCTTTAGATTTGTGGTTGTGCTACTACTACTACTACTGCTGCTCCTTAGCTTGAAACTCTGCAGGGTGTGAAAATAGATGGAGGGAAGAACAAGAACCAAAGGGAGCAAAGTATTTTACAAAAGGAGCTGAAAAAAGAAGAGTAGGGGGGAAAGGGAAGGCAGATTGAGAACTTTGGCAAGAGAGAAGAACCTTTGAACAGCAAAGTGAAAAATCGTGAATAATTATTTTAGAAAACAACAAAAAAGTATTCGTGGAAGGGGGTTGACAACCCTACAGGATTTTAAATCTACACATTAGGGGGTTTATATAATTGTGTACAAGAAACCAAAGTATGTTACATAAAGGAGTGTCACAAGAAGTCAGAGTAATGATAGGAGTGCGTGATTTGGGCAGCAAAATGTCAGATAAGTATTGAGAGATCAAGCTGAGATCATGGGAATCAGAGTGAAGTCTGCAGTAATCAACAAAAGAGATGTCCAACACGTAGAGTTTCAGCCAAGAAGATGAACTAAAAGAGTCCCATTGTTTTAATATTGTGTGCAAATTCAGAAGTGACTTAGTTGTATGATGAGCTAAACATAGGAGTACAGAAGAGAAATGAATTTCAATTTTTTTAAAAAGGCTCTAGGCTGGTTTAAGGAGATAGTTGGATATAATGGCTTCTATATTAACAAAAGTTGATGAGAGAAGGAATGGTAAGTCCAAATTTGTACTTGAAAAATATATTGAAGCGAAAATGTCACAAAGTGAATAATATATGAACCTCGCTGTACTTTTCTGTGGCATTATCTTAATGTATTAATATGTTTAAAAGTACAAGCCATATGAATCTATCACAGATCTTTTAAAATTGCTACAGTATCATCAGATATCTAGCTATAAATCATCAGATATCTATCCTATAAAACTCTTTGCTGCTGGAGCAGTTGAGAATAGGCACAAAACATTCATAGGGGCCTCCACTCATTTATCTCTAATTTGTACCAGCCTACCCTCCCAACTAAGCAGAAAATGCATGTCTGTTTACAAGTCCTTAGAAAAGCGTAGCATAATTCTAAGAATCATTAATTTAGAAGACTCATAATGTTTGAAGAGTAAAGCTTAAGCAAAATGTTTAGCAAACAATATAAAGAATTGCATGAATCATGATTACTTGGCTGCTTTTGAAGACCAATGAGCACCACCAGAGTATCCAGTCCAATTCTCTGCCTTTTACTGTTTGTAAAACAGGCCAGAAACATAGTTTGACTTCAGGTTAGGATGCAGGCACAGATCGTGCAAAAGGCGCAAGGCTGGATTTGCTTCAGAGCTGGGTATCCCATACTCTTGTTGCAGTGGTGAAATCCAAATTTTTTTACTACTGGTTCTGTGGGCATGGCTTGGTGGGCATGGTATGGTGGCATGGTGGGCGTGACTTGGTGGGACATGGCAGGGGAAGGATACTGCAAAATCTCCATTTCCACCCCACTCCAGGGGAAGGATACTGCAAAATCCCCATTCCCACCCCGCTCCAGGGGAAGGATACTGAAAAATCCCCATTCCCACACCACTCCTGGGGGAAGGATATTGCAAAATCTCCATTCCCTCTCCACTCCAGGGGAAGGATACTGCAAAATCCCCATTCCCTCTCCACTCCAGGGGAAGGATACTGCAAAATCCCCATTCCCACCCCACTCTGGGGCCAGCCAGAGGTGCTATTTGCCGGTTCTCTGAATTACTCGAAATTTCCGCTACCGGTTCTCTGAACTGCTCAAAATTTCCGCTACCGGTTCTCCAGAACCTGTCAGAACTTGCTGGATTTCACCCCTGTCTTGTTGTATGGCAGGAAAAGTTACAGGAACCAATTCTCTTTGTCACCTTTGGAGACAGAGCTCTGAGGTTATGGAAGGTGGAGCTCTGAAGAGGAAAAACTGTTCCTCTGAACTTCTCAACAGTCTGCTTTTATTTTAGAAGACTTGTGACATTTCCTTTAATGTGGTAACCAGGTGTCTCCTCCTCTCTTTCTTTCCCCCCTTTCCTAATGTGCTATCTTCATAACTCCCTGCTTGCTGGCTGACTGCACCCCACTGCATTGTAAGTAGCTGCCTTTGGCTCTATCCTTTGAAGCAGCAAGTTTCTGAGAACCTTCTGATTTCCTACAGCAAGATTTGGAGTTTGTGTACTTCACATTCTTAATTGTTCATTAAATGAACTCTTGGCAGTTTACAGATAGAACTTTTTTTTTTTCTTTTTGGATGCAGAATCTTTTTACCCAAAATCACACAATGAAGATGAGTTACTTTGTAAATTACAGGCATGCAATCCAGAGTTTTGCCCATAATACTTGCTAGGGGGCATATATTTAAGACAAAACCATTATAATTGGTTATCTATTAATTCAATTTACATATTCATTTTAGAGCATCACAGCAGGAACAAATTGCATTGATCTGAAATAAAAAGAACATGGATTAATTAAAACATTAAAAAAAGGAATAAAATTTTGTACATGCGCATGAAGTCTATTGCCATAGCTACATCCAGATTGGGAGATTAGAGATTTGCAGCTGCTTATATAAAAGAATCCAGTTTAGCAATGCTGATGCATGCTTCTCATAATGCATAGCATGGACCCCCAAATCATGTCTAGCTTTCTCTCAAAATATTATTATCCCCTTCCAAACTTACAGCCCAAACAGATGAGGCATAAATGGATAAATGTTTTTAATTGTGGGTGTTTGTGTTTGGGCATATGAAGACAGAGAGGAGGGAAGGGAAGAAAAATCTCCGTTCAGTTTTTCTTACTTGCTGTTGATCTTTGAGATGGAAACTTGGAATGGATACTTTCATCCCATGTTGAGTAGCAACTAACTTCTTTTTTTCTACCCTTATTCTGTAAGGTCACCTTGGACTAGATCAGGGGTGTCAAACTTGTGTCGTCACAGTGGCATCACATGACATATCAGGATTTTTTTCCCTTTCACTAAACGAGGCATGGGCATGGCCAGCACTTGACGCATCCAGCTCATGGGCTGCAATTTGACAGCCCTGGACTAGATACTATTCAAGCAATCAGAAATTTTAAAAATAATTAGCTTTCAGGAGTGATAAATCAGAATTAAGATCCTAGTTAAGAGTAGAGGACTTTAATATTTATCCAACCATAGTTCCTAGATAGGTTTCTGTTTGCTCCACTGCAAACTTTCTCCCCATGAAAATAGCAAATCTAAGGAACCATGTCCCAAACTGCCATCTGAATTCCAATATAGATAAATTCCTTGTTTAGGTTGTTTAGTTTTCAAAAACAACACAACTGATAGTTATTTAAGTAGTATCTGATCATTTTGACTCTAAGATTAACGTTTCCTTCCTCCCTCCTCAACTTGTTCCCCATCAATTTGGCTTCAAAGACATGGGTTGTTGCTGTAGGCAGTGAGCACTGAGTGGGTGGCTCCAAGATCTTCATGGGTAGGCGCTGCAGTGGCTCACGTGGTAAGACGCTGAGCCTGCACTCTGCTGATACTAGGAGCTTGGTGGCTTGATTCCCATGAGTGAATAAACCACGTAGGGACAGGAAAGGAGCCTCCCCCAATTGCCTACTGGTATTCAGGCATCCCAGCATTCTACGGGTAAGATAACATCACCCAAAAAAATTCCTTTCATAGAGGCAGCCAGCTGCTTCAGTGATCTCTTGCTAACATGTGCCATATATATACATATATATACATATACATATATATGTGTGTGTGTGTGTGTGTGTATTTTCGTAGATATATATATATAGGCTTTCACATGAACCAATATACTTTTCCTACTTCAGACATTTGCACCGAATGCAAAAATGTCTACAATAGCTGACATCACTTGAATGATATCAGCAAGGAGGTAAAAGCTCATCTAGGCTGTGTGTTTTGGATTGTAAATGCTCTAGTGGGATTCTACTCTGTAAATCCTGGAGTGGATTATAGATTGATAAATGACATACTAGCTCTAACAGAAAATGCTTGTTGCTACTACAGTTCTGCTAGCAGTTAAGAGTGCCCCTTTGTCGTTTTCCTCCTCCTCCTCCTCCTCCTCCTCCTCCTCCTCCTCCTCCTCCTCCATCATCATCACCGCCGCCGCCACCTCCTCCTCCTCCTCCTCCTCCTCCCTTTCTGCTACCTCGTGAATCTAAACCCAACATTTTTGGGACATTAAAGCATGGAAACTTGACATATTGCCCCATACCAAGTCAATCAATTGGTCCACTTAATGAAGGGATGTCTACAAGGAACACCTGGCAGCCAGGCTCCAAAGTTTCAATCAGGAGTCTTTCCTGGTCTTCCCTGTTGATAACTGAGATTGAATTCTCTCCAAGAAATAAACTATAACTCTCCTGAATGCAGAGAATTAAAAATGGCACCAGCTGACATGGAGTGCAGCCTGTTCTATTTTTAAATTATGTGCAATTCCAGAACTGGAACCATTCCCTGGCTACAGCTACAGTTTGGCCAATGTAGATTTTGCTGGGCAAGTTTTACTGGCAAATGACAAACCGAGTAATTTCATTTCTCTATGGGCATATCCAACTTTCTGCTTGGCGCATTGCCAATATGGGCCACTGACTGCTTTCAGACTATAGCAACAGATGACATTATCCTTGCCCCACTCCCAACCCTTCCCACAGGCACCCTTGCCTGGAATTTTCCAGCTTCCATTCAAAACAGCTGTTCTCAGAGCTTTGTTTCAGTCTATCAGCAGCTTCAGTTCTGATTGGCTGCAGTGTCTGTCATGCTCTCTCCCCTCCTCTGGCTGGTCACTCAGTTGACAAACATAGCGAGCTATTATGTTCTCTGCATCTACAGTTGCTGTTTGGGTTTCTTTTTAATCTGTTGTTTATCTAACGATAGCTCATTAACTCATTCAAGTCCCTTCGACCTTGGAGGTTAATGGCCCATTTGAACACCTACAAGTAGGCAGCCTTTTTCTGTCCAACTGGGTGAAGCATGGTGCTTCCCCAGTCTGCCTACAGGACTGCAATGTTTTGTTTTGTTTTTCTTTTTAAAATATGTTTAAATTTGCAATACAGGAATATTGCAACTTTGTTGTTATGAAGCTAAATTATCAATTCTCCCTTGCTAAGAAGTTTTCTGGAAGGAAAAACATGAAGGAATAATCGCTGAATCAAAAGCTGGGCACATGCCTTTCGTGCATGATTTGGGAAGGACATGACCAGTCAGTGGCCATAGTGCACACTAAACACGAGCTAGTTCCATTGCAACCCACTGCAATCTAGATTGGAATTTCTGAAGTTGACTTTGGAAGCAGCCAGAAACAACAGGGGAGACGAGCATCTTGCACTACAGTACAGAATTGTTCACTATTACGTTATGAAGTCCTGACAGGAGTAGAACCACTTGGATCTATTGTAATTACACATAAAGATCAGGATCCATGTTTAATTATAAGGGTTTGGGCAGGAAGGAGATTCCAAATCTGAATCCAGCTCAATTTCTTCCCATCGATCTCCCAGACACTGTTCCCATATCTTACGTCCAACACCACATAACACTTATGGTGACATACCAGTGGGTAGGAAGTGAGTTTGGCTTTTGCATAAAAAGTTTTCCAGCTGATCCTCCAGTTTATATATTGGGATATCCAGGATGAATGTAAATAGGGCTGGTCATCTGCTTTCTTATATTATTTGAGCCAGAGCATCTAACGGGTTTGGTTTCCACTTCTGCTGATTCTTTCCCTGGTTGCTTTTTCAGATTCCCACTCTGCAGCTACAAAAAGCAAAACTAGTGAAGACATCACCCAGACCTCCAAATATAGTCCAGCTTATTCTCCAGATCCATATTATCACTCTGAAACAGAGTATTGGACTTTTCAAGGTTCACCCAAAGGTAACATTCTCCATTCAGGACACTAAAATCTTTATATTCCAACTATACCCCATATGTCAAGGACTTACTGGGGGAGATTATATCTGAGATCTCCAAAAGAGGACAAGATGCTTTTGCATTTTATGACAGTTAACCCTGGTTCTCTGAAAGCCTTGGATGCAGTCTCCGAAGACATCCAAGTTAATTACCAAGTTGAAATACGATATAAAGAGGGAATTATAGCTTGTATGGCTGGAGAGTACATGTTCAATTCCCTGAAATATGAACATAATGTTAAAAAGACAAAATTTATCTTATATTATGGATCCATCTACTTTCAATTCTAACAGCACCTTGACTTCCCACTCTCACTCCAGTGCACATCAGACTTTGATGGCCCTGCTAAAAAGAATAGATCACACAGGGCAACAGAAATCAGTCTTAGGCTCATCCCCAATAACTTGTTGCCTTACTCTGACATTGGCCAAACTCCAAACTGAATGCTTTGACTATATTTCCGTGTAGCTCCCCGAGTTCGAAGATTCTCATCAGGAGGAGAAGAAGATAGCTTTGATCGAGGGATGCACAGAGTGAGTGTACAGCTCTGATTAACTTTTCCTCCTGTCATGCTGGTATAGATAATACTCTTTTTATTTTCTCTTGTGGTAGTGAAACTTCAGTGTTTTTTCTATGGGGACCTCTAGTGCATTGGAAAGGAGGACTCACAACTTGGCAAGGACCCCAGCTATTTTTTGTATAGCCTCAGATAAAGCCACCTTCCTCTGTGATGAGGTAGACCTGCCTGATGACTATCAGATATGCTGGTCTTCCAAAATTCATATGGTTGGTTGGAAAATATGGAAAATTGAACTCCACATCATCTAACATTGATAGTTACTAAAAAAAAACATTGACCTCATCAAGCCTATCTCATACAAGATGTTACCTTTGGACATTATTATATTGTATTGTAATTGTTTGTCTGCTTTAGGTCATTGTATTAATATTAACCAAATATTAGTCTTAAGCAGACCTTTCTTGTTTCTGTAAAAACAAGAGGCTCCTTATTAAATGCATACATACATGTATGTGTATGCATGCATGCATGCTTTGTATGCCTAAAATTCTACACCAAAGCTGAAAGAAAACATTTGTGTCTATGACTCCTACTCTTTTTTTACTCTTAACTTTTTAAAATATGTAGATCCAGACAGGAATTGGCCGATTGATACTGAAGGAAGAAATGAAGGCCCGTGCTAATTCATACATGGACCCTTGGACGCCTCCCCGCAGCTCAGCGAGCAGCAGAGAAGCTCTTCATACAGCAGGCTACGAGGGCTCCTTAAATGGCTGTAAGCAACAGCAGGCACATCACAACCACTCTGCCTGCCAGCAGAGGGCTGTTTTGGGGAACCCTCAACAATGAAAGATTGAGTGGTCATCAGCTGATTTTCTGTAGGAACCCTGATTGTATGTGAGGATCCCAGAGCATCAATCTCCCACCAGAGTGTTGAGATCAGTTGAAATCAGGTATTCAGCCTGCTAGCGCTGGAAAGCTCCAATGCTAGCAGTTCAATGACAACCAAGAATAGAAGAAATTTGTACAATTGAACAAAACTATGGATGTGATCGTTCCAGCTATATTTTACTTGCTCCGTACAAAAACATAATAAAGGGGGATGAGACTGGGGCTAAATGCCGATTAGCCAATTATCATAATTTCTAGTGATGTAATAGGAATGAAAACAAGTTTTATATCAGCTCAAAAATGTTGGACCACTAAAAATTACTAGTGGGAAATGGCCTTAGAGGTAGGAGAGCCCTGAAAACAAAGAAAATAACAGCAGTCAAAGAAGAGGAACTTTGTATGTTCAGAGTGATCAAACACAATCAATCCATTTGCTTAATTCTGTTTCTGGCACTTGTACTGCATTTCTTCGACTAATCAAACCATCTGATTTTTTTGCCATGCTAAAAAAAAAAAAGGCCAAAGAATAAGCTCTTAAAACCTTTACCTAGTAATAATTCAAATGTAACTTTGAGCTTTCCCTTTCCCACATGCATGTGTCCAACTCATGACCACTGTCTCTACTCAATCTCTATTTTCTCTATAACTTAATTGCCCCTTGACTCCCAAGCATTTTTGCCTCTGTTCTGATTAGGGAGCTCTGCCCTCATAGTAATTCCTGCAGATCCAATATATCCCCCTACTAATGCTAAGGAACATCAAGAAGTAGCCTTTAAGTACATCCATTTCACTGCTTAGATGAGCTAGATGTCTGAAGAGATTCCTAGTTGTTTCCCTATTGGTTGTGTGCCACACATACTGTACCAGGCTAGGTGATGCATATGTCTGTGTTTTGTTGGAGTTTTATATTTCAGGGTGCTAAAATAAAATTCAAGAGGCTGTTTTCTAGTGTTTGAGGTCAAAATAAAATTCAAGAGGCTGTTCTCTATTGGTTGAGGTCTAACAATAAAAACATACTCACCAAAGCCAGATATTCCAAGACACTTGAATTTATTTGACGATATGAATCACTTTGTATGTATCTCTGTGTTTCAATGATGCAATGTGGATGAACAACATACCACTTTGTTGCAACAGTCAACTTTCGCATCCTAGTACACCTGAATGACCTTACTACAGATGGAATCAAAAGAGATTTTTATTACATGAACTACTTTATCTCACTTACATTATTTTAATAGGCAGGTAGAGAATGAATGAAAGTTGAAGAATTACAGATGTGCACCAACAATAGCATCAACTGACCACCAGATGGGACTATTGTTAGCTGAGCAGTTGTTCAATTTTTAAATTATTATTAAAGTCAAACTAGACCTGGCATGTATGTGCACCTTTTTGCCATTCTTAAAAAAATAAATGCAAAGCAGTCTTAAGGGCTGTTAGACTGAGTAGATAAATGAGATAGGAACATGGCACACATAACACAAAGTCTCACTCAAAGCTCATTCTTTTCAACTCTTGATCATAGAAAAGGCAGAAGTACACTGTTTGGGGAAGGTTTTGAGCAGCAAATGTTATATAAGAGCAACAATTTAAGAAAGAGACATATAGTATACTAAAATTGTGCTGATACATGGAAGTATATAAAACATGGAGTCCCGTGTCTGTATATGCAATCATAGTCATGTGTAGAGTCATATATATGTACATGCATGCATTTACACGTAACTACTCATTGTTCATCAGTGCTGTATTTTCTGAGAGATGTGAAACTCCTGCAAATAATTCCTTCCGTGTACCATGTAGGCCCATTTGGTGGCCCCTCTGGCCAGTACTCTGTTGCAAGCTCCATTTTTTTATTATTATTATTTTTTGTAGATCTTCTTAGTGCAGAAACTGGATTTGCATTAGTGATTGGTCTGGCTTCTGCACTGAGAGGGAACTGTAGTCATTGGCTGATTAGGAAGAGTCCCAATTAATTAAAAGTAGGATTGTGGCAAACAGGCAAGTGATGGAAAGTATTCAGGATGGGATCCAATTAAACTACTGCAGAGGTATGTGCTGCACTCTGAGCAGCAGTGGCCTCTTTGATGATTGGAAAATTTCAGGATTGCTGATTTTTTTTTTTTTTTTTTACTTTAATAGAGGCCTAAAGTTCATTATCCAGAGCCAGGTGAAAAATAATGGCTTGGATCCAGGGTTTCTGAAAAACAGACTCCGCCCAGAAATCTATGAAGAATATCAGATTACACCGGCAAATGCTTCCATACCAAATCTTTCTTTCTTTCTCTCTCTCTCTCACCTTCCCCAGCATTCTTTTCCACCAACTAGTTTGTGGGCAGGAACATTTTGGAGGGAAGGAAGGGGTGTGAGTATCCATGTGTCTTTTGGCTTTTGTGACGTGGGAGTCAGAGAATCTGCTGGCAACGTATAATCATCCAGAGTTTTCTGAAGTCATGATTATTTATTTTGTGTGCACTGTTGTTGATAGAGCTTATAGAGTATATCAGGATAAGAATATTATCATCATTCTGAAAGAAAATAAGAAGATAATATGAAATTCCCAACTCTGCCCAGATACAAGGAAGTCCAGTGCCACCTACCGCTTGGACAGTATGATGACATTATTCTCATAGTGGTACCATCACCTAAGACAATTTTTTGCAGGAGTGTATCTAGTTTAATGCTTTTAAGAAAAAAAAATGCCAACAATGCACCTGATATCTTGGTTTGTCTTCTTTTATAGCACCCCGATCACACTACCTGGCAGACAGTGGTATGTGCTTCTTGATTTCCTGCCTCTTTTGCTTTGTGTTCTTCAATCCATTTTGCCTCTCTAATGGGGTTTCATTGGACTCGATGAGTTATAAGACTCTTTAGCCATAATTAGGTGGTGATATTTATGGACTGCTGTATGGCTTCACATATGTGCATCCATAATGTCCGAGAGTAAAGATGAAATGGCAACCCTACTATTTATTAAACAGAGTGAAATAGGTTACTATGCTCAGGTTGAGATAAACCTGAGGTAAACCACCTTGGGAGGCAGTTCTCATGGGATTATTATCTGTGATTTACTTCATTAATGTATGTTTAGAACTAATAGGAATGGGTTTGTATGTTCTGAATAACTTCCCCTATCATGCCTTCAGTGAAATTATTCTGCTATTCTGGGGGGTGGAGTTCTTTCAGAGAAAATGTGGTGCAATAAATGAGTTGGTCAGACATAAGAAAGAACAAAATCAGATCCTTGGTCTGACTAGGCACCCTTGGACTAGTCGCCTTTTAGCAGTCATACCAGCTGATGATGAAGAAATTGTAAAGAATCACACAGTCTACGGCACGCTTATTTGAAGAAAGGCAAGATTTTTTAAAAAATACAAGATTTTTTTTATCTGTATAGATCAGTACAGATAGTCCTTGACTTACAACACTAACAGAGCCCGAAATTTCTGCCATAAATCCAGGTACTCACATGAACATGCGCATTTCTAGACATTTTTTGTAGCTGTCTTTAAGCAAATGCTGTGATTGTTCAGTGAATCTATGTATTCCTCTGGGTGTTAGTTTTTCTTTTTCCTGGAAACTGGCTGAAAAGGCCAGAAACCAGCAAAAAAAGTTTGTAAATTTCAATCATGTGAGAGCAGAACACTGCAACCGGCCATCAAAGCGAGCTGGTTGCCAAGCACCCAAAATCCAGTCACGTGACTGCAGGGGTATGTCCAGCTATTGAACAGGGTCATAAGTAGCCTTTGGGTGATCTGTTGTAACTTTGAACAGTCGCTAAGTGAACAATTGTTAAGCAAGGACTACTTATAATAGCAATAATTATGCTATGGGTGGACATTCTTTCTGTTTCTTCTGATAATTAGGACCTGGGTATTTGCGGGACCGCCTTCTGCTACCGATAGCCTCCCACCGACCAGTACGCTCCCACAGAGAGGGACTCCTCAGGGTGCCATCAGCCAGGCAATGTCGGCTGGTGACCCCCGGGGGGGGCTTCTCTGTGGCAGCTCCTGCCCTCTGGAACGATTTGCCCCCGGAGATAAGAAGGATATCGGATCTCCGGGTCTTTTGCCGTGCCCTGAAAACTTTTCTTTTCCATCAAGCAGGGCTGGCGTGAACCCCCCCCTTTTTTTTAGTTTTTTAGTTGTTTAGCTTTTAATCTGTCAATGGGTTTTAATTCGAATTGTTTTAAAATTGGGCCAAAGTATATAATTCTTTTAATAATTTTAAATTTTGTATTGTTATGTGTTTTAGTTTTGGCTGTGCACCGTCCTGAGTCCACTAGGAGAAGGGCGGTATACAAATTGAATGAATGAATGAATGAATGAATGAATGAATGAATGAATGAATGAATGAATAAATAAATAAATAAATAAATAAATAAATAAATAAATAAATAAATATGAATGAATAAATAAATAAATAAATAAATAAATAAATAAATAAATAATGAATAAATAAATGAATAAATAAATAAATAGTACTGTTCTGTAGCTGGCCACAAGAAGGATATTTTTCCTTCACTGGAGATATTAATTCTGACTTGCCCATTCTTTTTTTTTTCCCTCAGATCCTCTCATTTCAAAATCCGCTTCTCTTCCTGCTTACAGAAGGAATGGGCTGCATAGGGTAAGAGTGGCCATAGATTTCAGCTCCAAGTGAAAGTATTTCCAATTATTTGTCTGAAAACTGCCATTTTAATAAAATTAATGTTGCCCTCCCCATCATGATCATTTCTGAATGTCAGTCAGGAGTTCTCTAAGCTAATGTTGAGAGTCATATCGGTGTCAGAAATGGGATTGATGTCCTTCCACAAGCGTTATGCTGAGAGAGTATTGGGCAGTTGCTAAGAAACAGTTAGGGAGACTCCTGGTGAAGATATGAACATATTAGATTACGAGTGGGAGTTTGGGATTAGAAAACCACAGCCACTCCTGAATATATAAGAATAGCTGGTGCCTCTGGATGGCTTCTTTAACTAGAGTAGAAAGCATTTGTCCAGTGTATAAAGTTTCTGCTGGAGAAGCAGTTTCATGATCTAAGCTCAGGCCTATGTACTGTATTCCATAGAGCCTGCTTATGGCTTTGTAGCACAATCCACTGCTAAATGAGAGGAAAGTTTACATCATTGGAATAATTCCTGGATCATATTCCCTCTCTCTTGTGAGAATGAGGAAGCTCTCTGACACAGCTGGGAGATGGAAGGGATAAGGAAAGAGTTATATTGTGCCCAGCATCCCTTAACTTGGTCTGCTGCACAGAGATAGTGGTGGGACACTATCCCATTAGTACTGTTGAAATTAGGATCTTCACAAATCCAGCCTCTTTCTGTTAATCCAGCCTCTTTCTGTTAAAAAAAAAAAAGTTCCACAAAGGGTACAATGTATTGGGATAACACTACTCATGAACTAATCTTATAACTTCAAAACTATTACAATTTTTAGCTAATGTGTAACCTATTTCAATCTCATTAAGGCTTGAGAATTATTCAAATGCTAATATATCTGACTTTGGACAATCAATAAGATGACACTTAGATAAACTTCCTCAAAGGATGATTATGTGAATAACATTAAACATTGTTATAGTTATTGTGGACATTGTCTTGAACAAGACTGGCATACAATATATAAACAAGCAAAAATGTTATTGGTTCCTGCTGAGGAGAATATTCATATAAAGGCAAATCCCAAATTGAAGTCAACTTTCATTTCTAAGATTAATATGCTATTACCCTTCTGGCATATTTTCTCTAGAAAACACTGATTTTGGAAAAGACTTTTATTCTTTATTTCAAAGATGCTTTTTCAAAAGGCAACTGGACTGTTTTGAGAAAGAAGAAGACCACATCTCACTTCTAATCCACAAAGCTTCATTGGTTCTGTCCAGAATAATAATAATAATAATAATAATAATAATAATAATTATTATTATTATTATTATTATTATTATTATTATTCCTCCTCCTCCTCCTCCCTCTTCTTCTTCCTTCTTCTCTTCTTCTTCTTCTTCTTCTTCTTCTTCTTCTTCTTCTTCTTCTTCTTCTCCTCTTCCTCCTCCTCCTCCTCCCCCCCCCTTCCTCCTCCTTTCCTTTTGAAAAAGTATCTTTGACACAACTATGACCTGGATGACTAAGAATCTCCACAGAAATGTTTATTCTTTCCTCTTAGCTCCCCCTCATCCTACACTATTTCTCTGATTAATCTCCCCCTATACTTCACTCTCACTGCCAGTACATACAAATGGCAGGAAAGTTTATTAACATCTTTAGTGAATCAAACGTTTTCATATACTGTATTTCTTGCTGGAAGCAGCTATAAAAGAATAGAAGAATTTTTAACTGGATTCTGTTTTTGTTCCATTTACTGACCATTCCTTCTTCCATACTACAATTTTCTATGCAGCCTCCCAGCGCTGAGCTCTTCCACTATGACAGCACAAATGCTGTCAACTGGGGGATGCGAGGTGAGTGGAATGACCTTAGGACAGAAATTTGGGGGAGTGGGAAGATTCATAGACTTGCTGACTGATAGGTTGGATTTTATCAATGTATTATGATGAAGACTGCTTTTAGGCAGGCTAAGATTGGGTGGCAGTTCCATGTGCTAAATCGATACTGTGTTCTTGGGGCCTGTATCTTAATTTGCTTGTTCCCAGATTTTCTCCTATCAGGATTTATACTGGCCTGAGATAGTGCTGTTAATATATTAGGGAAATATTTCTGAAAAACTTTACAAAATTTTACAAAAGGGCAACAGAATTGGCTGTGATTATTACAAGTTAAATTGTGATGCCTGGGGAAATCAATCTTCAGTTCAGAGTCTGCTCAACAATTAATGGTGGGAAATATGACACTGATTAGATTCCAAATGACATATGAAGCCCACATGTTGTTGGCTTCTGATATAAAGTTTTTAAAGATTTAATGTTAAAGGAAATTGTGATTAGCAGAAGCAAAAATACTCATCCTATTAATCTTTTGTGGATAGTAAACACAGTTGTAGTTGACACATAGTGGCAGTTACAAGAGAAAGCACTTGCGACACTGAGGTCTATTGTTACTAGTTTCTACTGTTTCAAAGATTGAATTGGTCATTCTTTAAATATAACCTTCTAATCAAATGCATCAGGATAAAAGTCTTCTATCTCTGGAAAGGACCTATGTGTTCTATCAGTATATTCAAATCTCCCAAATGGTCCATGGCCAGATAAGTTTAGAAAACACTGAACTAAACAAATCTATACTACATGACTAGAATCCTCAAATTTAGCTTTACAATGAATTTCTTTTAGATTGTTTTAAAGGTAATCTATAGTGCTACCTATTATAGTCAAGCACACCCAAATAATGCCTAATTTTGCAAATACCACAGTATCAACGGGGGAGGGTATTTTGTTTTGTTTTAATTTTTAAGTAACAACAAAAAGGTTTGCAAATGCCAAAAATGCCATTGTTGAAGAAAAGGGACTGGAGACTAACTTATCTTTTTTTGTCTCCCACCCTCTCCCTGTCTTTTTTTTTTCAGAATACAAGGTAACATGCTCTCAAGATCCTTATGAGATTTCTAGAATCGTGGATGCTCTTTCTTTGGAAAGCAGGAAGCTGTCACTATACTAAATAGCAACCAGGAAAAGCTGCATTAATAGCCAAGTTAAAAGAGAATCTGATCTTATTCTCTTTTGCTTCTTTTGGTGCCAGGAGTAACATCTATTTGAATAAAGGCATCATCAATGCCTATTTCTAAGTCAGGAGTTTCTAAATCTTTTGCCACCATGCTTCCCTTTAGTGTAGTCCTAATGTACACCTCCCCTAAAAATCTAAATACCAAAATGTACAGATGAACAATGAAAGCATTGCAAGTTTCGTTGTATTGTTTTCATTGTGTTCATTTTGGTGTTTGGATGATGGGTTTACTGTAATAAAGTAACTGAACTACATCCTTCACATTCCCTTGGTCTCTGTCTGTACCTCCCCCAAAAAGGTACATCTCACAGTTTGCGGAACCCAGTCCTTAACTAAACCCAGTCATAAACTAACATGGCCTTGGAAGATACTGACTTTGAGTTATGAAACTTTGGACTAATATATATGTGGATGATGCTGAGCTGAATTTGATGATTTAGAAAGAAATCTTAGTCGTCCTTATATTTGAGATATATAAAAAAGAATTGTTTGATAAAAAAATAAGAATTGAATGAATGAATAAATGAATGAATGAACGAACGAACGAACGAACGAATGAATGAAGTCTTTGTGAAAATGTGTGCTTTTGAAGAATTAGATCAATATAGTTGTGGAAAGACTGAGTGAGAGAAGGTAAAGTATAAAATGAAGTAAAGGACAGTTTTTGAGGAATTAAGTAAAGGGTATTAGAAGTCAAGAAAGGTGAAAATAAAAATGTTGCTCTACTTTGCTTCTAGTTTTTATTTTTAACACTTGCTGGAACCTTCTTTTCTATGTGCCAAGAACACTGACTGCCATTCAATTGCTAATAAACAAATGAAAACAAATCATTTCCCATAGATATTACAATTATATCCTATCTGGGTTGTAATATCATAATTCACCTTCAGATTCCTGGATTCCCCTAACCTCTTCTGGTAACAAATATCTGGCCCTGTTGCTTTGAGGTAATATCAGCCTAAATCAGATTCTCCCAGAGCATCTTCACATTGAAAAAGTATAATTAGAGGTTATAAAATGTCTTCCTGCAAATTAGCATTTCGTGACCTGGTCCAGCTCAAATATCTTTGACTTTAGTTCCTAAAGTATATGCTGACAGAAAAGTATAATAATTGAAATTCAATATATTTAAAAACTATTATGATGTATGAGCTATACTGACTGGCAGGATTTCAAACAGAAATCTTTTCCTGAGGCTGACTGAGGCTGAGAAATGAACTTGATTTTTTTTATATATGTAAAACATGACCTTTGTTACTGAGCTCCAGTCTACCATGTTCTACAAAGAAAGACATTATTTTATTATTATTAATAATTACAGCATATTACTAATAATATACTGAATTAAGTAAAGATAAATTTCTGCATCTTGGAAAGAACCGACCTACAACTAAGGAGGAATTTCCTGACAGTGAGAACAATTAATCAGTGGAATGACTTGCAAACAGAAGTTGTGGGTACTCCAATACTGGAGGTCTTAAAAAGAGATTGGGCAACCATTTGTCTGAAGTAGTATAAGGTTTCCTGCTTGAGCAGTGGGTTGTCTCTTCCAATGTCCCTTCCAGCTCTGTTATTTTGCTATCATTATGGCATCACTTGTGCTGTTGCTATCCTGAGCAAATAGAAACTGTAAATATCAGTGTTACACTGAATAGAATCATTGTATTATAATCAGAGAAAGCAGTAATATTCTCCAAAAATATTCTTGTACTTCTCTTATGGCATGTATTAAATTGTGAGTTGCCAGATTCATATTACAATTGGGAAGTGCTTAAATCTAATTAAATTAGTAAATAAATAAATAATTTTTCATACCCACCAGCAAATTTACTCCGACTCCTTCCCAAAGCAGTCTGGGAACCCTGCAATGATTACGGTATCTTCACTTCTACTGATTGCAAAACGCAGAAAAAATGTAGGGAATCAGTACTCACTCTCTTTCTTCATAGCTGATTAATAGGAGATGAAAAATAAGACATCCTACCAATGTCCCAACTGCTATCATGGGTCGTGGTGTAATAAAAATCACATTGTCACCATGTCACACAGAAAAGGAAACAAATTAGTAGCATCTCAACCCATATTTTACAGTATGTGAAATCGCTTAGTGTTTCCAAAACAAAGAATCCCAAAAGGTTATAATGGAAAACTATCTGAAGATGATTTCTTTAAAACGTAAAGAAAAATGCTGGTTCCCTCTAAAGGCTTCCTGACCATCTTCCACTATTCCTCTATGGCAATTTAAAAAATGACAATTAAAAAAAAAACCTCTGAATTTGTAAAGGTGAAATGTTAAGCATGCTGGCAATTTTACAACCTTTCCAACAGAACACTGTTGGACACAGGATGCTAAATCTCTATGAGCAGAACTTAAGGATAGGTACTAGAAAGCAGTAGTAGACAAGCATTTTGTCCAAAGGGAAAATGGACTACTTATAAATTTTACAGAGTTGCTGCATTTCAATAGGTAGGAAATGCCAGCATTGCTGTGATTTCCAATAAACTGGAATAGATTCAAAAATTAATAAACTCACTTCCCAACATAAAAAGTATTGTGAGATTGATTGGATCCAAGGCTAAATCCTAAAATGATGCAAAGTGCTGGTGTGGAAGCCTCCATACATTTTCTCAAAACTATGTTCAACTGATTCTTATTTTTCTGATTCTTTCATCCAGCATCATATTTTTCCCCCTTTCTTTTGTAGATATACCCTTATGAGTTGCTTTTGGTGACAACTAGGGGAAAAAATCGCTTGCCCAAAGATGCGGACAGAACTCGGTTAGAGGTAAGTCAAATCCAGCATCTGAAAATCTCCTTCAGGTACTTCTGGAACCTCTGAAACTGAATCTTCCCATTCTTTGGATTTTTGATGTCAGCGAGATCCAAGAAGAGGTCTATTGCAGAGGTGTAAAACTCGCATCATCACGGCGTCATCATGTGATGTATTGGGACTTTTCCCCCCTTCGCTAAACCAGGCGTGGGTGTGGCCAGCATGTGATGCATCCGGCCTGCGGGGGTGCGAGTTTGACAGCCCTGATTCTGTTATAGACAGATGCTTTCAAATTCAGATCAGTGACTATGTAATATTACTAACAGACTATTAAATTACTGGTAAATAGTTTTCAATTAAGTGAATGGTAAAGTAAGCACTTTTAAACTAATCATACATACCTAACATACATACCTATATTCAGCCTAACTATACAAGTAACTATGGTAAGCAGTGCACTGTTTCAGGGCCAATATTGCCACAATATTGAGATTGTGGCAGCTTGTAAATCTGATTGATTCATTTATTGATAGATGATAAAAGATGATAGATTAGATAGACAGACAGACAGACAGAACTAATCAAGAAAATACTGAACCTACTGCAAGCAAGGAAAATCACTGCAGTTTTCTTCCTTCCCCTACATGTTAGATGCCAGCCTTAACAACCAAAAGATTCCCTGCCTTTACAGTTTTCATAGCTGCCTGCATCGTATATTTGTACGAGATGACCAGGCTGAGCCTGAGGGAGGGGTCAAATGCATCATTAGTCATAAGTCCCTGCATGCCCATAAGAGATCTAAGTCTAGCTCACCTTGAATGCCTTCTTAAGTCCCACCAATTTCCTTCAACTTTTAGTAGTGCAGATACTTGTAGAGAGCTTAACCTTGCAATAAATCTTTATACTCATTTGAACTGCCTGAATCTCCTGATTTTTCTGGTGCTTGACAAAATGTTCTTTCTAAATCAGTTTCTTTCCTCATTTGTGGAACACAAAGCGAATCGTTTGTCCTTGGAACATATTTTTCCTGTCTGTAGGTAATTAAGACTCAGGTTGTTTTCAGATGGACCTTTTGATCTACAGTTTGCTGGTCCATCCTGATAATTTCTCAGTGGATACAAAAAATATAACTTATATTTCTTTAATAATCAGCTTAGTTTTGGCCTTCCTTTTGTCAATTTTGTTCTAAGTAAAGAAATAGTAAGAGAAGTATTTGGAGAGAAAGACCTAAAACGGAAATATAAATCATCAAAGATATGGATGTTTTTGACTGTTTCTGCTCCTAGAAGCTTTGCTTTGTTTATCACCCTTTCTTCCTCCATTCTATTCCTATATACCAAAGTTGTGAGCACACAAACTTGTGTGTTACAGGAGTGTTAATATAATAACAGGAGAAGGAGGATACAATACCTTGAGCCTAGAAGTATTTTGTAGAGAAAAATAAAAATGCATAAAAAGAAACACATGCAAGGACGCCAAATGTGTGCTTGAATGTCTGTAACTTTAGATGTGTTCATGGGAAATTGGAACAGGTAGGTGAGAATGGGCTGGAAAAGAGGGTGGGGTGAATGATTCAGATATTTAGATCTCCAAATTCATCAAGGCCCACCTCTGGTATGAAAGTCCTTTCAATAAATCACCAAAATTGACTGTGTGAATAATTGTGCTACAAACTCCAACAGATTACTATGAGAGAAGGGTCATATCTGGGTGCAGCCTCAAATGTAGAGCCTGAAGATACAGTGGTGAAAACTAAATGTTGCCTCAGAGCTTACATATCTTTCAGATCAGGTGCCTGTTGTCACACTTGTACAGATCAAGTGCCTGTTGTCATATTTGTATAACAGCATACCTCCCTGTTCTCTTTCCAGCGCCATCTGTCCCCAGAGGAATTTTACCAGGTGTTTGGCATGACTATTGCTGAATTTGATCGCCTGGCTTTGTGGAAAAGAAATGAGTTGAAGAAGCAGGCTCGGCTATTTTGAAAACAGTATATACAAAAACTATATAAATATCTCTATATAGAAGCTCTGTATAGTACAGAGTAGAATTTCTGGCTGTTCTCTTTGGAAGCCTGTAGAATGAACCGAAGTCTCACAGATATTTTTATGCTCTTTGTTTCTTTTATTCTTTTTTTTTTTAAAGAGTAACTGTTATTTGGGAAACTTTTCAAGTGTGGGGAGGATGTGGGAACCTGTTTTATACTGAGCTGTTTCTTTTTCTTACATCAATGTTGAGAACCTTGGGCATTATCATAGTTCACCCGTGAGCCTCTTAAAAGCAAGTCTGGAGAGATAGGATGATGGAACTGGGGGCATTTTTGATAGAGCCAATCATCCTTATACGCCTCCCCCCCACCCCATGGCTTCAGAATATCTGAAGTATGCTGCTCAATCAGGCCAAGGATTTATCTCAACCTGCCTTTTGTTTCTAACAATAGCTCAACAAATATCTTTTACATTTTTCTATTATTTTCCTCACTATCTTAATCATCTCCAAGGCAATATATATATATAAAAGAATATTGGCTGGATAGATTTTGGTTTTTATTTGTGTCCTTTTCAACAGCATGTTTAAATCTTGGTTTAAATCAACACCAAGACCTTGGTGTAAGATCTCACAACACCTTTGCACCGAGATTTAAACATGCTGGTATAAAAGGACACAAATAAAACCAAAATCTATTCAGTCAGCATTTTATTTTCCCCTTACAGCAGACATCCAAATGACTCATGGAAATTAAAAAGATGGGCTTTAAGGTGATGAGCATCCCTATGCTTTATATTCCTCCCTGCAGCATCCAGCAATCAGATTGATTACCTCTATGTATGGAGGCTTTATATAGCTATTATTGAGAGTATCTTTAAAATGGTTTCTCCATGAATAAATATTAGGTTCCAACATTTCTTTTTTCTCTCAGTTACATTGACATGCAGGCTGACTTCCATTCCTCTTCGGAGATCTGTAGAAAGCAGTGCACTGAAACACTTACTAAAATTCATTCTGGTTCAGCAGATACTGCTACATTCAGGGAATAGGAAGTTGGGTTTTTTGGAACACAGAATTATATGGTTACCTAAATATTTAGGTACTTTAACACAATTTTGGATATCATTTACATTTGCCCAGGTCTATATACAGCCTTTCCCAATCTAGTGGTCTCCAACCATGCTGGACTAAAACTTCCAGAAGTCATACTGAACTATGGACACCATGTTTGTAGAGGCTAGTTTGGAGGTACAATCTGTGATATGCACCCAATTATAAATTATCTTCCTTTCCATTATTTCAATTTCGTCTTCTATTGCTAGTCACTTTAAGCAGTCAATTTTTTAAAAAGCACTGCTATGAAAGAGCTTAACCTTACAAACTTAAGATAAAACTTTTTTAAAAAAGGGAAAAAATCACAGGGAATAACTGGCACCACTGTCCAATTCTCAAACAAAACAGTTCTATACCCTAATCAGTGGTTTGTTGAATAAAGCATAATAGTGGAAAGCCATTAATCATAGTTTAGAAGATACAGTGACTTGATTCACATAATATGCTAAGCTAAAATCCAATAAATTATATTATGGCTTAGCACGATATGTGGACCTTGTCACTGTTGTTCTTTAAATAAACTTTGGCTATGGTTGCTAGAAAAAGAATGAAGCTTTACCCAGGCAGATGTGATGTTCAAAGCATTACATCTGAACTTTTAAGTGAGTTTTATATATGTTTTCTGAAAACAGCAGTCATATTAGGAATCAAACTTTGAACTTTCAAACGTGTATAAAAACTGTTGGATTATAGGGAAAAAAGAGTTTGGAGAAGCCTTGGCACTTGAAATGTCTTGTTCATCTTTAATTTAACTAATTTAATTGCATTCAGTATGTCTGGCCTTTTCATGGTCACTAGCCACATTTCTGATATTGTGTCAAATCAGTAGGATCAACTCCTAAATGAAGAAATGTTCATGGAATGTTTTGATTTGGGAGATTGTATGTTTGTTCTTTCTTAAAAGAAAAAGAAATTTCTTACCTAATACACTGTTTGAACAAAATAATTGTGAGTTGTCTCGTATTGTTTTCCTATTGTTTTTTTCCTCTTTGAATGAATTGGCTCCAAAGCTGAATCTATTACTTCCAACAAGGTGGGCAAATGCATTTCTCTCCTGTATGAACTGACAAACTGCTCAGAGTTCCTGGAAAGGCAATGGCATCTAAATTAATGTGACGAATACATTCTTCTTTTATATATTAGAGACTAATGCCATATTAGTGTGGCATCTTTGTTGATATCCAGTTTTGATTCTGTTTAAACAAAGGCCATTTTGCTAGTGATGTTCTTCTACTTCAATGTCAAGTTCACAATTGGTGTAGATGGTCAAAAAGGCCATTTCCAACTCATAATTTTAGGATTCCAGTGTTTTATTTCTCATTTCTGAAATCAATTATTATATAAGAATACAACACGTTTTTCCCCAGGAAGAAATGACTAATTCTATATTATACATCTACTTACTCTAGCTGAGAGAATGCTGATTACATATAGAAAGTAATGCTGCTTTTTACCAAGTGAAATTGTATATTGTATTACCGGTACTCATATTAGCTAAGAAAATCTTGTAATCAGCAATTTTCACACTCTTTCTATACAAAGGTATAACCCTATTCTTACATACTGTGGGTTAAGTGCACTCAAAGAAGCTTATTTCAGAACTGGCAATATGCAGGTTATGTCAAAGTATTGCTTTAGAGGTGACAAACAACAAAACAAAAATAAATCTCTAGCTAGTAACCATAGATCCTAACTTCTTTATGCGTTCAAATAATGTTTACAATATTGAGTTAATAATTCAGTTTCATTTAGTGCATTAGTGAATTTGTCTGCTCATATTTATATTGATTTGTATTGATGTCAGAGAATTCTGAGAAGGATAAGATCTAAAATATATGCTGAGTTCCAGGTGGGCCAAAGCTGCTGTAAAACATCTTCTGCTCCATGGAAGAAAGCCATACTGTGATAAAACAAGACTGGAGTATAAATGCTTCCATTAAATAGTTGCCTGATTTAATATTTATGGAACATTTTTCAAATTCAAAACACTTTTCAGACGTTAGTTTATTCCAAAGGAAAGTTGGTTAAATTTAAAGCTAGGACAATAGAATTGAAATTCTAGATAAAAGGTGAAGTTTTTGGATAATCATATCTTTTTCAGCTCTAATGGCTTACTTTACAAAGTGCCCTATGACAACAAAAGCAACTAAGCCTTCCTGTTTGACAAGTAAACGTTACATATGGAAGGTGAATCTGATGCTGTTTGCCTATATCCATGAAATATGCAGAAGCAAACACTTTAAAACTTGCAACTCCAGAAAATATTTATCAAACCAATGGCTGTATTTTGCTTTACCAATGTAGGTGCTCAAGGACTACCCAAATGCTATGGTTCCTGTTTCAAGGAGTTTACCAAGTAGAAACTGGGTGTGTTTGGTGTGGAAATCATCTTCTTCACTAGCAATATGATGGATTGAGGGCAATAGCTTCTAAAATGAATTTATTCCAGGGGTGAAATCCAGCAGATTCTGGAGAACCGGTAGCGGAAATTTTGAGTAGTTTGGAGAACTAGCAAATACCACCTCTGGCTGGCCCCAGAGTGGGGTGGGAATGGAGATTTTGCAATATCCTTCCCCTGGAGTGGGTGGGAATGGAGATTTTGCAGTATCCTTGCCCTGCCATGCCCACCACGCCATGCCCACCAAGCCACGCCCACAGAACCGGTAGTAAAAATAATTGGATTTCACCACTGATTTATTCTTTTCAAAAGGACATTAATAATCATGCTTCAGTTGCTCAGATACTAAAGGAGGAGAATATTTCACAGCAAAGAAGTTAGAAAGGAGAGAGGAGGAGAGGGTAGGAAGAGGAGAGGGAGGGAGAGGAATGGAAGAAAGGAGAGGAGGAAGGGAAGGGGATAGGAGTAGGAGTGAAGGTGAGAAGGGGGAAAAGAAGAGAGACGTGGGGGAAAGGAAAAGGAAGTAGGATGAGGTAGGAGAGGAGGTAGGAGAAAGTAGGAGAGAAGAGGGAGGGAAGGGAAAGAAAGGAGGAGAAGAAGAAGGTTTGTTGTGGAATGAGGGAAGAAAGAGAAGAAGAGCAACTCCAAATGTAATTAAAATGTTTTATTTTAATGCTTTCTTTAAGGGAAACATGTATATGTAGGATTTATTATGTATAAGAAAATGTATATTTTCTATTATGTGGGGAGGGGGAAAGGGTGGGGGGGAGAAAATTGTATTTCTTATAAAACTTTTCAATAAAAAAAATAATCATGCTTCATTAAGCATGCTTAATTCATCATTCAAATGTCTTCAGAGGAGCTCCTACCTTAAGGGAGTCTTTCCCAACCTTAAATTCTTTGACAGTGCTTCTTGAGATGATTGAAACTGTAGCCCATCACCAGAGGATTCAGGGACAGAGGGAAGCACAGGGCAGTAAGAGCTTTGCTCAAGGCCTCCTTGTGTTGCAGGGTGCAAGAGAAGAGCTGGAAACAAAGATAGGGATAGGGAGCAACTAAAAGGCAATGTCTCTCAGGAAACCATGATGCAAAGGAGGCTGAACATTGTTACTGCCAAAAACTACAATAACAAAGATGTCCTCTGGGAGGGAGACGTTCTGCCTGCTATACTCTGTGCCTTGGGGCCAAGATGAAGAAGCTGTTGAATTCTCTACAGACTCTCTCAAGGTATCTCACTTATAAACCAGAAGGCATGCCCAGCCTGGTCTATTCCGTTCCTGACACTATGTTATCCTCCTTGTGTCCAAAGAATCCAGTCACAGGATCTTCCCAAGCTGATTGCTTTCCATCTGTGATGGCCGTAGGACAGGGGTCTCCAAACTCAAATCCAGAGACCAGCACTGGTCCACAGCATGCCAGTAACTGGGCCATACAAACAAGCAAAGCTCCATCTGCGGGATGCAGGCAGCATGCGAAACCATGCCCCCTCCGGTCCATGAAAAAACCTTTC